ATATATATATATATATATATATATATATATATATATATATATATATATATATATATATATACATACACACACACATATATATGTATGTGTGTGTGTATGTATATATGTATATACATGTATACACACACACACACACACACACACACACACACACACACACATATATATATATATATACATACATATATATATATATATATATATATATATATATATATATATATATATATATATATATATATATATACACACACTCTTCTGTGTATGTGTGTGTGTGTGTGTGTGTGTGTGTGTGCATGCATATATGTATATGTATATATAGATCCAAATTCAGTTGTACAGCAAAAGTAATAAGATCCTAGCGGGATTATCTGATTATCACATCCCACATAAGCCTACTTATATTTTTAAACAGCCTTGAATCTATACGCAACATATCTTGCATAAGAAGATCTAAGACCCATCGGCGAAGACTCGTGATGTCGGGCCGCCTCTTCAAGGTCTTTTTGGTCCTGAACTTGGCGGGTCTTTCGGTCTGGCTGACCTTCTTCGTCGCGCCCTTCGTTGACCTGGGTCGAGGAGGAGCGAGGGCAGGACAAGGGCGGTACCTGGCCGCTTCTCGAGACCTACTGGTGGAGCAGCGAAATCTTAGCGGTGAGTGCCAGGGGTGGTAAAGAGGTTTCACAGTGCGCGAAATTTGCTTCTGGTAAACTTAAAAAAAAAAAAACGTTGATTTTCGTTAGGGTAAACGAGTGTAATTTGGCGTAGTGGTAGTCATGGTGCTGCTGGTCGTAGTGTAGAGCATTACAGCTGTGTACATGGAAAAGTTACTTTGGTAGTACGAGTGAAATACAGACTGATACAAGTGTTTCTGATGACACAGGTGCTACATTGAAAGCGCTTGAGATGAGACAAGTGGTTGTTGATAACATATTATTTCACTTTTATGAACATGAAGTATAAAATCGAGAAAGTTAGGGATAACACCAAGTAAATAATACATGTAAAAGTTATATCTGAGATGAGGTAAATCAGTAAAATAAACACTTAACATGGCGCACTGTTTGAATATGTATTAATATATTAATGTTATGCGTAAACTGCCTTTCAGTTAGTGATAAGCATTACATATCAAAAAGGATACGTACAGCCCGAGGAATATTTTGACTTAAAAACAAATGCCAATAATACTATCAAAGTAATCTAGACAGGTGCTCAAAATCAAGTTTCCTAAGCCGTTTAATCCACCATCTATCTTCTAATTGGGACTTCAGGGCCTAAATCACTTTTGCATAATATGAAAGCCTTTTAATAAAGTCAGTGAGTCATGATCACTAAACAAACAATGAATGATCATGTTGATTAATAATTTCGTATTAATATTTGCATCTGTGATTTCTGTATAACTAGTAAAGCAATGTATCACAGTTCAAGGCTCTGACAAATCTACGGAGTCTATTTTTTTTTTCTCAAGAATATGAGGCGAACGCTTGAGCATTATATATCGGAATGTCATGTGATACAGCCTTTCAGACCACCTAACATGAGGTATAGAGAACTATGTGAATACTTAATTTCATCTGATACACTGGAAGATATACTTGTATTATATCCAAAATTTACTATGTAAAGCTGCCGTAAACAAAAACACAGTGTTATGTAAGCACAGTGGCAAGAGCATATTAACGTATTATTTTTTGTATGATGTATGACAAATTTCTATATTACCATGTACTATTGCAGTAGTCACAGACTACTGTACTGTGTCAGATATATGTAAAGCTGTAATCATGATTGCCCACGCCTGAGCAGAGAGCCAGGGTGGTAAATAAACTTACTTATGAGTATGCAATATGTCTAACAGGTGTTAGGTACGACATCCAATTTGCAGTAATAGCAAAGATAAATATATTAATGGTAAAACACACACGCGCGCGCGCGCACGCGTGCATCTGACTTTTCACAATAACGTATACTCAGTATCCATTTTTTCACAACGTAAAATCTACGGAGGTGATACTACGTTTTTCATTTCATTTCAGGGATATGAAAGAAAGACCACATCCTTTTCTTTTCGCTTTTAGGACATCGATTTCCATTTCCACTCACCATTTCCCACTTTCCAGATGTGGTCACGATTCCGGTCTTTCCCAAGTTCCTCGTCTACAACCGCGTCCCTAAGTGCGGTTCAGCTACCATGCTTCGACTCATTCTCAGGTCCTCGGCTGTGCATTGCTGTGACATGTGATCAGTGGCGTAGATAGGAAATTATATAGGGGAGGCGAGAAATGCAGATTTTCCGACAAAAAATTGATAAGCATTTTCGTTTATTCATGATTATTTTCCGACAAGATTAGCATTTTTTCCGACAAAATGGCAGTTTAGCTCTAGAGGGTTTTTTTTTCCGCCCCCCCCCTGACCCCCTTCTATCTACGCCACTGCATGTGATGGTTTGCCAGAACTACGGGTTTTGAAGTTGTTCATGATCTGTATTATATTTTGAAACTGCTATTACGCCTTTTTCTTCTTGAATGTTGATTAAAAGTGGCGGGCCTGTTTGAATACTAACATTAAAATAAACATAATGCTAATCGGTTGAGTTTCTTGGTAGATGGGGCCTTAGTGAAGCTCATTGGCACAGTTGCGGAAAAGAGTCCATGTCGCCCCTTTCATCTGTTCACGTCTGTTCTCGAGAACTGCATTATTTGTAACTCAGTATTTAATAAAATGGATACACACAAAATATAATTCTGAGCCATGCTAGCGACTCTTCGAATCACAGCCCCTTGGCTTATCAAATAGGTGGCAGAACACTTTCACGCAACTGTCCAATCCACAAAGAAAATAACAAGGCTTAAAGAGCTTAGGAATCTTTACACATGACACAGGGCAGGCTTTCCAGTCGGATATAACAACAAAAACATCTCAAATGCTTTAGATTTAGCAGAGTAACTGACTTCCTGATTTACGATAAGAAAATGCGTGTGCATCACGTATTATGGATGCTTCAAAGTCGTGTCCATTTGCATTTTGTTTATATCAACTTATGATGGAGGGAAACGACGCCAGTGAATATGTTTATTCATTCATTAGTTTTACGTATTTGTTTGTTATTCATTATACATATACATATATATATATATATATATATATATATATATATATATATATATATATATATATATATATATATATATACATATATATATATACATATATATATATATATATATATATATATATATATATATATATATATATATATATATATATATATATATATATATATATATATATATTTAGCAAGGGCATTGAAACTCACTTCCTTTTATTGCTGCCAGATTGAGATCTCACCGCTTGATACAGAGAAAAAATCCTACAAATTTGGAAGCTAGTAGAAAATATAATTTCATTTGAAAAATTGCATTATTGCGTGGCCATTTCTAGGACATTTGTTTTTTTTTCCTCAACAGAATATGGATACAAAGTCGTTTTTTCCTTCAAACCTCACTTTTGCAATCGGAAAAAAACTGCCGCCACGTCTGAGGCAAAAAAAAAAAAAAAAATCATAGATCAGAAATTTTACCAAAATCATACATTGTAGATGCAAATAAGAATCGTACGAAAATACACTTCAGGACATAGCCATTTGACTTTAATTCATGTTATCGTGATGATATTTATAGGAAAGTAAGTGGGCATTTTCTTCTTAAATGTTCTTCACCAGGGCCGCAGCGTGTAAGTGCTGTCACTTGCACTCATATTTTTTTTTTACATTATCTTACTACGATTCATTGTAATCTGAAGTTCATAAAACAGAATAAGAATTAATGGCCATAAACCGAATGCATGAAAGGTAAGAATACAAGGATTAAATCGCCGGGGAAATAATCAAAACTATAAAATGAATACACACACACACACACGCACACACGCACACACACACACACACATATATATATATATATATATATATATATATATATATATATATATATATATATATATATATATATATATATGTATATATATATATATATATATATATATATATATATATATATATATATATATATATATATATATATATATGTATATATATGTATATATATATATATATACATATATATATATATATATATATATATATATATATATATATATATATATATATATATATATATATATATATATTCATAAGTATTCTATATCTTCTAGTCTAAAAATCTAACATACTTTTACAGTTTGATATCCTTACATTCAAAAAACAAAAGAAATAATTTTTCTCCATTATTTTTCCCACACATTAGACTATTCAAAATTACCTAAATATCTTTATTTACGCAGAAACATGTAAACTAAATATTTATAACCAATTTTTTACAGAATATAATGATATTGATATCAGCATGTGTATGATAAAACTTATAATGATTATGGCAATATAATTATCATCTATGATAATCTATGAAAAACAACCAATTTTTAACCTCTGGTCACAGCTTGTCTCGGAGGCATGGCTTCACCTCAAACAACATGAGGGATACAGGCCTAACCCACACCGCCCGCGAGCAACAGTTGAGGCTGGCGGAATGGATGTTCAACCGACCAGCCCACATGCCTCATTTCTTCTTTAAGCATATTTATTTCATCAATTTCACCAAGTGCGTCGATGGGTTTCTGTGTGTGTGTGTGTGTGTGTGTGTGTGTGTGTGTGTGTGTGTGTGTGTGTGGAGTAGCTTTGGTGGTGGGTATTGAGCGCGAGTGTGGATATGTATAAATGTCAGTCCGTAAAGATAAACACACATCTCTGTTAATTATATACAAATATCACCTATGTATACTTCCGATCAATTTGTCATCCTTTTCTTCTTCTTCCGTATGCTTATCAATCTTCCTTTAAAGTCGAGATGCCTTTGTGTGCGTTCCCTCGCCACCCTCCGGACTGAACAAGGCATGCCCCACTTTCCCTCAGGCTGGGGTACGCGGAGCCCAGCTGGATGAACGTGGTGCGACATCCAGTCTCCCGCTACATCAGCCACTACTACTACAAGCGCCCGACGGAAACCCTGGACGAGTGCTACGCCTCAGGTCGGTGTAAGGTCAGGAAAGGCGAGATTTCGAAAGACCTCCAGCTGACCTACTTCTGCGGTCACGACACCTTCTGCAGGTACGTTCTTTGTTGGAGATTTAGACGGTGCGAGCTAGGGTTTGAGGCGTTTTGAGGTAGAAATTTAGACGTTTTGGTTAGAGAGTTTGACGTTTTGGTTTGAGAGTTTGACGTTTTGGTTAGAGAGTTTGATGTTTTGGTTAGAGAGTTTGACGTTTTGGTTAGAGAGTTTGACGTTTTGGCTAGAGAGTTTGACGTTTTGGTTAGAGAGTTTGACGTTTTGGTTAGAGAGTTTGACGTTTTGGTTAGAGAGTTTGACGTTTTGGTTAGAGAGTTTGACGTTTTGGTTTGAGAGTTTGACGTTTTGGTTAGAGAGTTTGACGTTTTGGCTAGAGAGTTTGACGTTTTGGTTAGAGAGTTTGACGTTTTGGGTTAGAGCTTTAAACGTGCTGAGTTAGAGAGTTAGGCTTTTTGGTTAGAGATTCAAGTTTGAGTGAGTGTGCATTTTGGTTTATTTAGACGTTTTGGGTTAGATATTTAGATGTTGTGAGTTTGAGATTTAGACGTTTTGGTCAGTGATTTAAACGTTTTGGTTAGAGAGTTAGACGCTATGGATTGGAGATTAAGACATTTTAAGTTAGAGATTAAGGACAGGGTTCCACGATCTGACAAGTGGCACGCTACATTGCCATAAAAAAACAAGTACATTTAATTCATTTTGCTACAAAGTTACTTGTGACATGTGATAATGTGGCCTACATGTTGCTCATGAAACTCGAAACTGGTGATTCTGTCTGGTGTCGGGTGTTGGTCGTAAGAAAAAATGGCAGAAGCAATTGAAGAGTAAAAAGTTGATTACTTTAATGAACATATGCTTAGGGTATCATATTCATAAAAAATGGTGGCATTAATGATAATAATAAAAACAGTCTCAGTTAAAGCAATAGCAGCGGGTATAAAAAGTTGATTACTTTAATGAACATATGCTTAGGATATCATATTCATAAAAAAAAATGGTGGCATTAATGATAATAATAAAAAAAAACAGTCTTCAGTTGAAGCAATAGCAGCGACTGTCGACTTCGCGTCGGCAGATGACTCGGGTTTAAAGGTGGAAAAAGGTTTTGTGGCACTCGGCTTGCAAGTGCCATGAAGCAGCAGTGTCGCGGGAAACAGGAACGCTGCATTCAACATTCCTGGTGAAATTCTAGCAGGTCTCAAGCTACATGTTGCCAAGAACATTTGCCTAGTTATCTTAAAGATATGTAGCGATTTTGTATTCCCGCGCCGCAAAATAATATTTTCTCTTATCACAAAATATATATTTTTTTCATGTCACATAATAATTTACCATACCGCATAGTATTTCCACACGCCCCTTGATCCCATAGAATCATCGGCAACCGGAAGGCTCTGCAGGTGGCCAAGCAGGTGGTGGAGACCGCATATGTGGTGGTGGGCCTCATGGAACACTACACGGATACGCTGCTGGTGCTTCAACATGTCCTTCCTGGTTTCTTCTCGATGGCGACGTCCATCAGTAGGGCTCTGTTCTTTCCTTTCTTTCATTTTCCATTTCGAAACAAGTTGATGATAATGACAACAAGAGAGGGACGCGTTATTCATGTATGAGCACAGGCATTCGTAGACATTCATGTGCATGATACTTACGCATAGACACTTAAACACTCTCACTCACTCACACACACACACATGCTCACATATAACAAAGTGTGTGTGTGTGCATACATGTTATTTCTTTTCTCGTGCACAGAATACACAAATTGGAACGTGCAGAAGAAGAAGCCTGTGACGTCAAACGCAACTCTCGCTGCCCTAGAATTCTGGATGAACGAGGAGATCGAATTCTACCAGTTCGTGCAGCAACGCTTCTTCATTCAGCTGGAGAGAGTCAGGGAGGAGAGGGAGCGTCTCAGGAAGCAACAATACCAGGAACAGGAGCAAGATATAGCCGTGTGAGAGTTTGCAGTCACACACACACACACATGTGTATGTATGTGTATATATATATATATATATATATATATATATATATATATATATATATATAGATATATATATATATATAGATAGATAGATTTTTATTTTTTTTTTTTTTTTTTTTTTTTTTTAACAGTCATTCATTCCAGTGCAGGACATAGAGAGCGAGTCCCTGTAAATCCCTGTATTTTTTCAACTGTTGATAATTAGTGCCACTTGCTGTTTATCGTTTATTGGTTTCATTTGATGAATATTAATTAGGGTTTCGTGGCCTACATTCGATTGCCAGCATTCAGAATCTAACCAATGTTGCAAAATGAACATAAAAGAACAAATAATATAGGGATTATACATTTTTAAACAAATGTAATCATGGAAAGAAAGCTTCT